CCCCCCCAACTGATCTAGAGCAGCCACACTTCAGTCTCCGAGATCTAGAAGTGCATATTGATTATAAACCCTTTCTTGCCTTCACATGCACCATATTCCATGATCTCTGGTAGCAGGGACAACCATTCAGAGACCAAAGGAAGACTGGTTTCCTTTACTTCCTTAGAAATAAGATGAGGTATTTCAGGGAAGAAGGTGTTTTCTTTTTCCTTCTACAAAGAGGAACAAGTTTTCAGCTACAGCAGCTCAATAGCAATGCTAGTTTTGGGAAAAGTGATCCATATTCACAAGATTGGATTTTTTTTTTCCCCCCCTGTAAGCAAAGAAACCGATGAAAGCATTTCATTCTGAAGGTCAGCAAGTATCAAAGCAGTCCCTAAGGGCTGCCTCTGACTTTCCACAATCTGCAGTGAGAACTCCTGCTTCTGCAATTTCCATTAAGCAGTTTTGTTTGGCTTTCTAACCACCTGGACTTCTTCCAGAAATCAAAGCCAAAGTTGAGATCCTCCTTTTTTTGAAGGAGAAAGCCTTTTCAGCACCCCAAATAAGTAAGTTTTTCAACATACAAAGGAACGAATATGTAGACAGGTCTCAGAATTTACCAACAGTCCATAAGAAAACCAGAAAAGTGACACTTGCTACCAGAGTCACGAATATCCTTTCCTCTCCCCTCTACCAGAGCCTACCATCCAGTGCCTCCTGGCTACTGGTGCAAAGCAAGGTGTCCCAGACATTCTTACAGGTTCAGATCTGAAGAGTTGCCCCTGTAAGGATTAGTGATGCTTTTACAAAGCATTATTTATATCTACCTTCCTTCTCAATTTGCTAATTATGCAATGACCTTTTAATTGGGAAGCCATATGGTGCATTTTTCTATGGCACTATCCCTTGTTATCCTCCAAGATGGGAAATGCAGGAACCATTTGAACAAGAAAAAAGAAAAAGAGTAACATATTTTCAGTTTTGCCTAGGTGAACTCCATCTATTCTTACACCCTGCCTGCCCTCCCAGCCCCCTCAGAGTACCTTCACAGTAACTTCTGAGAGGCAAAGCTATGGGCCTAGGCACCGGCACATGCAGGAACACAGTATTAGTCTCCTCTTTCCCCTAGGGTACTCTGGGCTGATATTCTTTCATCCTACCCGCTAGCAAGCATTAGGCTCATAACCTTCATGAATTAACACACCACTGTGTAATAACTATTCACTCATTCTTAATGATGCTTTTGCTTCCAAGTTTATCATCTGTATTTAAACCTGGAGCAAGCTAGCGGTAATGCTAGAAGAGCAACACCCTGGGTACTCAGGTGAAGTCTCTCGTGCAACTGCCTCTTTCAGTTTGCGTTCCTTACTAGCCAAATAACCCTCAGTCTTCCCTGTACCATCAACTTAGGAGCTACCTCCTCACCTGCTTATGCATTACCCTCCTCCTTTAGAGATGGCTAGGACTGCAACAGCAATCGCCTGCGCTCCTGCCCCTTTCCTCAGCTTGGCAATGTCCTAGTGTGAAGGACAGCGTTTCCCCATTTCTCCTGTCATTCTGCATTCAGTCTCTTCTGGCCTCAGAACCACAGCCCACCACTGCTGCTAGCAAGCAGCCTGCCAAGGGGGCAAGCAGCCTCCCCCTTGTGCCTTTTCCTAACATAGTTAAAAATCACAACTTTTGCTGCCTTTCTCTTTTCACAGATCAGTGTCCTCTGCTGTCCTCCCCGTATCATACCCAGATAATGCTATTCTCTCCTTCCTCTTTTTCCACAAGCTCTTTTCTTCTTCTGCAGCACTGCAGAACTCTGGTTTTGCTCCACTGAATGGTTTCTGCTTTCTCTTGGCAGTCATGCTTTTCCTGTGGATCTCAAGCCTTGAATTTTAAAAAACACATTCTGCATTTAGTTTGGGGTAAGATTTATACCACTTAACTTTAGATAGCTGAAGTTCAGCACCCCGCCTAAGACGGCTGCTTACCTGAGGTCCCCCTCTCGTCTGTAGAGGGAGGAAGGGCCTCCACAGAGCAATCCCTCCCCCTCTGAGACACCTTTCTAGGACAAGTAGGATGAGTCATGCTGTGAAAGAGCCCATACGGGGAGCTTGGCTAGATGGGAATACCAAAACTGCTTCACACTGTAAGCTATCTTCATGGCCTCCTTCCAGCATACTTTCAAATCTGTCTCAGTTCCACCATTACCTTTAGCTTGATCTCAAGTCCTTCAATTTTCTCTTCCATGAGGATCACCTGGTATTTTGAAAACCAGAGGTTCTGTTGAATATCCCCTCAAGACACACGCCCCAGAGGCTCAAATCCCATCACCTTTGCTGTCCCCTCTTCTGGGAAATCTATAGCACTGCCTCAAGATAGATGACTCCTACTGATATAGGAGCCATCATCATCTTTTCTTTCTAGTCCTTAGACTACAGGAAGGCACGATGAAAGCCCTCCAAACTTCCTACACTGAACTCCTACACCGCCTTCCTTATTTCTTCCAAGATCAGCGTCATGGCAACTAGCATGTCTCATCTTCCTTTTGTAACCTGATGAATTGGTTTAGAAGCACTCCATTACCAGGGCTCTTTATCTGCATTCCTCTAAAATAAGTTGTGTTGCTCTGAAAAGCCTGAAAGGTTTCAGCTAGTGCTGAATAAAATAAGTAGTTCATATATAAATAATAGATCAGCTATCGCTACATTTTTAATGGATGCATCACGAACATATTTTTAGGTGGCCTTGGTTAGTCAGAACGACTCCGGCATCTGCTTCCTGTTGCCACATGAGCGATTCCAGTTTCACAGTTCTGTGTCCATCTAAGCCACCTACTTGGCCATGGCCTTTTCAGCTCTGTCTCCAGCACAGCTTTGCTGCTGCACGGGAGACCATCCCACTCCCCAGGCAGCCTGCTGGCCGTAGTGGGATGACCTCAGGGAAGAGGTGCTATTCTTACATACTTCCTCCAGCACTTATCCACCCATCTCTTCTTAAAAAGATGGCAGATTAGAGGTGTCAGCGTAAATCAGATTACATGCCGATGACAGCTTCTACTTGTCCCTACTCTTGCGAAACCAGGGAAACAACACAGGCATTCGAGAGCGTAAGAGGCAGTCACTGGGGAGTCAAGCGTGAAAGCCGCCTGCTCGGGGAGCTGTCCCCTGCCTGCCAGGGGACACGCTCACACGGCTGCGACTCCAGAAATGCAGTGATCAGAGGCTGGCGAGCACTTGTGTCACAATCAGCAAGCGACCCAACCACCCCCTCTCTGCCCCCCAAAGGCTTTCGCTCGCAGAGGTGCTGGCCAGCCCGCGCAAGGCCGTCAGCTCTCGCCTCCCCACTTACTCCTCTTTCCGGTGAAGCTCCTCCTCGGACTCAGTGAGGCGCTGCTTCAAGGCTGCGATCATCTCCACCGCCACGTCCACCTGCCTGCTGAGGGCCCGCTCCCGTCGCTGCACCTCCTGCTTCTTCTGGGACAGCTGCACAAAAGCTGCCCGCACCTCCAGCAGCTCCGCCGTCTTCTGGGCCAGCTCTTTGGTAAGCTTGTCGATTCGCTTCTCGATCGTTTTGTCCACGGCCTCTACCATCCTGTTAAACTTTTCTCTGACGTGTGCCTCGAAGGAGGCTTTGGAGTCAGCAGCCGGGAGGCCGGCTTTAGAAACCTGCTCACCGGGAGAGTCAGCCGGCACATAGTTTGCAACGTAGGAGACGGGCCGTTCGGCTTCCACCTCCAGAGGCTGCCCGCGCTTTGCGCTCTCGCAGGACACATCGCAAAAATTCAGGTAGGACCCCTTTTGCTGTAGGGCGTCGCCGGGGCTCCCCAGGCTGCCCGGGGTGGCAGACTCCGGCGGGGAGATCAGCTCCGCGTCTTTCAGGGGCGAGAACCGGCTGCTCTTGCCCAGGAGGCTTCTCTCCTCGTAGCTGTGGCTGTACTCCAGGTGCG